TTATGACTGCTGTTCATGAAGAGCAAATAACGAAATGACAGACCCCAAGATAGTTCTTTCCTAAGGAGGTAATTAATTTTTCAGTTTAATATTGGTCTGAATGCCTTTCAGTCTCTCTTTATCTGCTGGATCGGATGCACGTGCATGTTTTGACAGAGAAGAAAGCATCATGGCACAAGTCATATCATTTACAATTCCCGCAGTTGGTCTAAGCTTTACAAAGCAAACACAAACAAAAAAGAATCTGGTCTCTTAAACGAAAAAAGCAGGAAAAAAGAAACAAGTTAGCCCAAGCTTCAAAAAACAGCACAGTTTATCATGAGGCCTCTACATTTGGCATTGAAGCACTCATGTCCAAAAATAATAACAGCCTATCAAGTCGTAAAAGATTGACTCAAATGATAAATGGTGAATGGTGTAACTGCTGAAACTGAAGATAGGGGACCAGGCTAACTTTTAGGGCCTTTTTATGTGGAGGAGGGGCGCCCGAGGCATGGTAACCCACTTACAGGTGGAGTAACCCACCTGTCCATATAGTCTCTCATGTTAATTTGATCACGTTTATATGATAGGTGGGGTGACCCTTCAAGGTAGGTAGCCCAGTCTGCCAAACCGGATAACCCTCTCAGCTGAGGTCAAATTCTGCCATGTCAATGTTTCAAGGTGAGGTAACCCAGGCTAGTTGGGGTCGGATTCGTGATACATCAAATTCGCACAAAATTCACTTTGGCGCCAGGTGTCTTCACATAATTATTAAAGGTAACAATAGAAAGCAACAACACTGAAGGTTGCAGCAAGAGCAGCAAGTGAGCGTAGACGTGGTTTGCCAGCATTTTTCCTGTTTACGTGCTTAGCGACCATTCAATAATCTTGAGAAAGTGCACCCCAGGATGGCGGGGTTGTAAGATTTCATGTAAAGGAGGATTATTCTTTTACCCCACCTAAGCAGGTTACCCGAGTCACCTACCTGGGGTCCCCCACCTTTATGTTAACAGGCCCTAAGTCTCAGGAACCGTGAAACTGGTAATAAACGGTATACCTAACCCGAGACTAGCTGTGATACTACTTCCATCTTCAAAAACGTCAGCATAGCAGCCAAAGGAGCCATTAAATCGGTGTAACACGAATATTAGATTGTGGTGGTTTCATGCGTCTCGTTTTGTGACTTTTTTGGGGTTCGTTTTTGTCACCTATCTCTTAAATTTCAATCATATTCAAAACACCCCTACTAACAAAATATTTCATAAAGCTCTTTAGAATGATATTCAGCAATAAAAACAAGGTGTGACCAGGAGCCGATTTCTAGGTTCCTGGTGTGGCAACATAGGCATAAGTGAATGCAAAGTTTTGCGGTATGTGATCTGTTAGAAAACTGTTTGCGTGGTCAAAGTAGGGGCTGATGAGCTTCTTTATCATGACCACTGCATTATTATAAGGAACTAGGCCATAATTATAGTTGACCCTTGCTTTTTTTGATATTTTCTGTAATTTTCCACAGCATTATTTTGTGAAAGGTTGGTAACTGAATTGCTCTCGAGGAATTCATGATCATAAGATTTTGTAACCATGGGATACTCGCCTAATTGCATCAAACAAATTACATTCATTTTCATAAATGATGCATCATTGGTTGGCTAAAAGAGGCCTTGTTCCTATAACTTTCAGCTCTTCTGAAGTTAGTTTGTTTGTAAATTGTAACGCACGTTATGACCTTCCTTTATTTTTTTTGAAAGATCGTATAGACCTACCATTAACACTCTGGTGCGAGGGCTCTGAAGTGAATGAGCTCCTTACAGGTGTCTAGGCATGCAGGGACCTCATACACTTCTTTTTAAATGCAAATGTGTTAAAAAATAAAGAGCGTTAAAAATTCCTGGACGGGCATGTTTTACAACCTCGTCGCCAGGGCTTAATAAAAAGGTACAAAAAGGTAAAGCAACCATACTTTACGTCAATAACTCATGACAGTAATAATAACTGATAAACTTGATGTTGACAGTGCGCTCCTTTTACCCCCCTCTCTCCATTAATGCTCTGTTTTAAGGGTATTTAAAGCTAGTCAAAGCTACACAGAAAGGAGAGAAGTTGAAATAAGGATGTGTTGACACCGGGGACAAACTCGGGACCTCGCACACTGAAGACTGCGCAGTAACCAATTGTGCCACCCTTGCTCCTCCTTTTGCCCCTGAGGACGAGGTTGACATGTCTTAATCATCATCTCAAGGACAGGGTTACCAACAAAGCAAATTATAATATAATCTTAGCTGCACAATTACAAAGTGGGCGTGTTGTCAGTTACGGTTCCTGAGGTTGTTCATGCGGCATGTCAAAATTTAACGATTCTGTGGTTTAGGATGTGATACATTTGGGTTTTATGTTATTGTATGACATCTTTGTAATTGAAAGCTGGCTTTGTGATCTGTTTAAATTGATATGTAATGATATTATCACTAGCAAGTCTTAGCAGTGTCACTGATAGCCGCACAGTAAACATGGCCACACTTACCATGTGGAGACTGGGCACTAGTCAGTATTATGTACAAGTAAAACTATTTTGAATAGTTTAACAACAACTAAACATTACCAAATTAAAAACTTAAAAATTTGAAACAAATATTTTTTAGCCAAATCAAACAAGAAGAGTACTCACCACAGGAAACCCAATCTGCTATTATGGGTGAAAGTTAACCCCCCCCCCTTTTATCCGTAATTAGGACCATTTGTAACAGGCACCCCCTCTAGTATTAATCAGGAGGTGCTAACGAAGCTCTGTGCCAAATTTGACACTTTTGTCACCTTTGTAACGATCCGGCCTATATTTTGCACCAAGAGACCTGACTAGAAGTGTTCTCCTGGAGATAGCTGATACCGATTTAGCTTACACTTCCAAATTTTTGAGTTCATAATTAACAATTTATTATTGGACTCGAGGTTAAGCAAAATATTGTGATTTGTCAGTGGTAAGCAGATAGACCATTTTACATTTATGAGCTTAGTGCCCTAGCCTCTGAGTGAATGTGAGGCTGAGGTTGACCTGTTTTGATACAAACCTCTTTTCTTTTGTTATTAAAATTATGCTGAAAACACTAGTTAGCAAAACAATAACTTAGATTAACATAATAAAGGAGAAAGGTTTAATAATCAAAACAAGGTCAACTCCAGCCTTGTTTCCACCTGTAACTGTAAAATGGACTATTATTTGGCTGAGGCAAATAATAGGTCTGCCAGACACTGACAAATCACAATATTTTGCGATAACCGAGCTCAATAATGTTGTTTCATCATTCAGTGACTAAGTTTGTTTTTTGATAAATATCTTCGGGAAGCTGCCATTTTCATGCAAGAGCAATAGCAAAAAGGGGAAAAGCTTGGTTTCTTTTGTGTACAAGCAGAGTATTATTTGCAGCCAAACACAGTTGGAGGACATAATAACACTTTATTTTTAATAAGCAGACCATTATTTGTATGCAGTTATTTGCAGGTCACGTGGTGGTCTGTCAGCCAACGAAAAGGAAAAAAATTTGCTTCGAATAATAATGTAAAATATTACGCATTTGCAAATCATAAGTTTGTCTCAGTGGATGCCTTTAAAAAAGAAAAGGGTAACTAAAATATTAGTAGCACTGGTTTTCTTTGTTTGAGAACATAGAATATTGAGCCTCACTATGTGTAGCAATGGGTGTCCTTTTTGTTGCATGACCAATCAGAAGCACTACTCAAATCTGGGTAATGACACGTCATCAGGATGAAATTTCTGTGGTTGTTCCTTAGACGACATTTCACGAGGAAACCAGTGGTGGCGTCCTGACAAAAGATAGATTTAGAGCTGTGTTTACAGCAAACAGCAAACATGTATTTGTATCACATGACCTGCTTTACATGCTTTCTGTTCATTATTTCTACCCCACATTACAATTAGTAGCTTCATGTTAGTCTTGTTTATAACAATTGTTTTCGGCCATTTTGAGCTTGTCATTTTCTGTTTTGTGAAATTCTCAACTAGAATCTGATGTTTGCAATTTGCTGTAAACATCTCTCAAATTTCTCTAAATATCATATTTACGAAATTCCCTATTTTTTAGAAAAAAAAAGGATCTTGGGGGTAGTGGGAAAACTGTGGAACTCATTGTTTATTTTTCTCCATAACATATGATTTTATGAGTAGAAATTATCATGGGCTTTTCCAGTTCCTGCATTGGCACTCCTGATGGTTTTGGGCAGGGTGGTGCCATGGGTGGCAGCAGTGGCAGTAATGGTAGCAGTGCCAATATCAGTAGCAGCAGTAGTAGCATCAACCTCATTCCCAAGGTTCTCTTCTATAGTCAAACCCCACTTTATGGACACCCACTTAATATGAACACCTTGTTATATTATGGACAGTTTGCTTTGTCCGCAGGGAAAGGAAGCCCTTACATTTTCTCTAAATTCAACCAGCATAATAAGAACACCCCATTAATACGGACACTTTCTGTCCCTATTAACGGTGTTTGACTCTACTTGTCCCCCAAAGTGCAAGTGAGAGATGGTCTCTCTCTCGCACACACACACACACACACACACATTCCAGGGGATTGATTGGGAGAGAACCAGAGAGTTCTGGGAATTAAGTGTACGTAGCAGCAACAGCAGAAATTGCTGCAGTAGCAGCCATAGTAGTGGCAGCAATACAGTTAGAAGAGTAGAAGCAGGGGCATCAGTGGTCATGCTTCTGGTATTATTATTAGCAGCAGCAGTAGCAGTAGTACCCAGTAGCAACAGAAGTATGTTGTGTAGCAGTGCAGCAGGAGGAAGAGCAGCCACAGCAGCAGAAGCAGCAGTAGTATAGTAGTTGTCATCGTTTTGGGTTTGTCGTTTTTTTATGCGATTTTAGGCAACTTTTAGAGAGTGTTTTGTTTTAGTAGTGATGTTCTTGCTTTGATTTGTAGTTGCAGGACATAGCAATATCACCAAATATTCCTGATCCAAGTCTGAACACAGTGGAGTGTGTTACCGTGGGTCAAGGGAAAGCTCCACCTTTTCCTGATTGGAAAAACCTGCTTCATGGAGTGTGCTGGTGTATTCTTTGCATAAGTTTGGTATTCAGTCAAGTTGCTTCGCAGTGGCTTATAGTGCAGCTAAGGGAATGGAAGAATAGCAGCAGAGTTGAAGCAGAAAAAAGGAAAAATGACAGCCAAGTAGCTGCTGTAATGTTGTTATCTATAGTTGTTTTTATCACCGGACTTTCCTTGATTTTTTTCGCCTGGAGTCGCTCCTCTTTTGAGCAAGATTATTACATGTGGGCATTCTTCACATCTGCGATGCTTGTACTTGTTCGGAGGGCACTTTGGTGTTTCTGGCGTATCTATAAAAGCGATAATATTGATGTATACAAGTTGAGCTTAACTAAGGGCCATGAGAGTGACCCAAGCGGAAATGTTATTTCTTTCTTCACACTTTACCCAGCAATATTCATGGCTTGCCATCATTTGCTGTGGATATTGCTGGGCGTCATAACAGAACCATTTTGGGGTATTTCAGTTTTAGTGGCTGTCATTTCTGTTTCTGCTATTCTCGTTTTCCTTTTTTATGATTTTTACGAATATTATCTTTCCCATGAATGTAATGACCACCAGTGTGAAAGATGTTCTGCCCGTAGAGGCCGGCGACGTGAGTACTGGTTTCCGTTTTTTATGTCGCTATTTCTTGTTCTAGGAAGTTGCGCTGCATCTGTACTGTTAATAATTGTTCTGTTAGTAGTTGCACAGTCGTTCCTTAGTGAGAGTCTTGTTTCCACGTTAGTTCAAAATGGTTTGGTGTTTTTCTCAACTTTGTGGCNTTCCCTAAAACTTGTCAAACAAACCTTTTATTAAAACGTTCTGTTTAATTGTCGACTGAATTTGAACAAGACATTTGTGAGTTCACAAAACTTGCCAGTTGTTTTCATTTAAGCATTTATTAACGTTTGGTCTTTCGTTTGGTCTTCGTCTTTCGCGAAGATCAAGTGTTTGATCTCGATATTCATGCAATAGTTAAGAGATATTCTCTTTTAGTAAAAAAAGAAACCAAAATAATTTAAAAGAACTCCTCTTAATAGGGAATACAACCGTTTAGTAATAGTTGACACTACAGCTGCCCCCGCTCTGTATTTGTCGGTCATATTGTAGCCTTAGTCTTTGTGTAAGCTCTTTGAAATACACCGATTCATATTGAACGTTTTCACACATAAAACATACAATAGGTGAAATAAAAGCGGGAAACGCAAGATTCCAAGCACTGAGTCAGGTCGATCATTACGTAACGTTGATCAAAACAAATATAAACACCCTCAGCTGGGCGTTTCGAGAATTTTTTCATACGCATTCTAGTCTAGTTTCAGCACAGAATTTCGGGACATTTCTGTAATTGTCTACCCTACGAGTAAAGTCTACATTTTCGCGGTGTGAACTGCGGAGCGACAAGTACTGCTACACACTAACTTTAACTGTGAAAAAAATTGATGTAGCCGCTGCTCGCAGGGTATAGTAATCATCCTTCGATTCCTCGTTGCCCCTGTTTAAGCAAATCGAGGTTTTTTCTGGTATACTAACTGCATGTTGTTACTGTAAGTACTTTCCTATATATACGCGCGCGCTACTAGGATACGTACTTGTAATATCAGGGCAAATCCTTGAATTGCGTAATATTCTTGTCATTTCAAATTTAATAAAAGGCACCCAACAAGTGCATGTGTTACGCCGATAAACTTTTTTTTGAAGGAGAGAACTCACTAAGCGTTTTAAAGTAAAAAACGGCTTTATTCCAAAAGATCCGTATTAAACAGTGAAACAAAAATTGGCAGCTAAGATAAAGTTTCAATCGCA